ACTATTTTTAGTTTCAACCTTTAAAATTTTGTTTTTGTAAAAGATCTTCAAGCCAATAAAATTTGATTTTTGTGTGAGTGATCGTCATAAAATTTAGCCAATGAAATCAAAATCACAATGGGATGAACGAATGTCCATTATACTTGCCCCATCAGTGTCTGAAATTGAGTGCGGGGGTTTGTGTTACATATTGAATTTAGCCAATCAACTTTAAATTTTCTACCAGAAGGTCAAATTTGATTGGCTAAATTCAATATGTAACACAAACCCCCGCACTCAATTTCAGACACTGTGCCCCATATGATCAATGTGCGGGTGTAACATCATACATTAGTAGTTTTCTGCATATAGTTTCTAAATTTGTAGAAATCTGCATTAGTTACACACTGGAATTTATATATGGGGCCGGATCAATAGAAACAAGCCATGTCAAAAAAAATCATGTTTTGAGAAAATCAACAAATGGGGCATGCTGCAACAAAACCAGACAAAGTGAACATTGGTATTACCAAAGATTTCAGGGATCAAATTTGTAATGTGATTATAATTTGTTATCTTAAGTGATATATAGAATTACCCCTTATATAAAAATAGTTAATATGAAACTCATTTATATCAGATCTACTATGGAACCAAAGAATTATAGTACTATCAGAAGTATTCTGAAGAAAGAACAAGGTGAAAAAATTGCTTCTTATATTTTTAAAATAAATGATACTCAAACACTTGAAGCTTATCTAAGAAAAGAAAAGATTACTTATGAAATTTACCAAGAAGAAAGAAAAATAATAAACATTAGAAAAAGGAAGCAGAATGAAAGTGTACTATTACCTAACAAAAAGCAAAATCTTTGGAAGAAGTAAAATAATTGCAATGAATCTTATTATTGCATATTTATCTATCTATTTTTATCTTTCTCAGTGAGATTTCTGAAACCAATACTAATCTTCCACTCCAACTATAATTTTCTCTCTTGTAATTGAGCATTGATTTTTTTTTACACTATTGAAATTCACGATTTTGATTGATTACATAGGTTAAAATTTTGTGTTACCAAAATGGTCTCAGATATATAGATGTATTTGAACTCAATGCAGTCATTTAGTAAGAACTTTTTAATTAAACTTTCAATAAGCTGAAAATTAGTGATGGTTATCTTTATTATGATGTTTTATTATTAAATGAAAAAAAACATAAAATATCATTTTTTCTTGAAGTATGGCTTTTAATGAGGACAATGAATAACACATTTTAAATTTCCTGATGGTGTCTTGGGTATTTATTACAAGATTTCTTATGATAAACGATTGGTATTGAAAGAAAAATGATATTGGAAGTTAAACTTTCAAATGTAAATATTAACTTAATTGAAGAAGAAATTTTGAACAAACAAAATTATGATGTGCAAGATAATAATGAATCAGGAACAGACATTATTACACAATTTAACAGTTATCTATGAGTAGATAGAGGTTCTTCAAGAGGAAGAAAATGATTCTTTAAATGAACTTTTAGAACTTTATGATACAGATGTTCAAAGTACTGAACATCCAGCAATAAATTCTGATGGGAAGTGGAAATTGGAAACTATATTAAAAAATACTATACCTTGTTCTTTTTAATAAAATTAATAAAATCAATATAAATTAAATTTGTCCATGTTTAAACTAATAATTCATATAAATCACAATGACATTTCATACAATGTACGAAATTTTTTTGAAGCCTCCTTGTACAGTACAATACATCCAATTAATTTTTAATGTCTATTTAATTAATCAAATTAGCAAAAACAACAGTAATTTTTTTAACATTTGAAATGTTTCTACTAATATTTATCTTGAGCATATAATAAAATTCTTTTAATATAATGATTTTTATAGTAATAAATATTATTTCTCCTTTCCAAATGTTTAATTAATATGGAATTATTGACATTTTTTAAAGTTGGTATAATATCCGTTAATTCTTTAAAACCTGCACGAATTGTATTTTGACGTTTTTGTTCAGAATTCTCTTTGGATTTTCTTAGTGCCATTGTTATCTGGAGTATAAATCATCCGAGTTGTCATTGTCGTGACTTGGTTATCAGATTCAGACCACAGAAAATCATTTATTGTTTTTGAACTTTCTAATAACAGAAGCTAATATGAAAATATTAATATTATTATATATTCTATATTTTTTGAGAATCTGCCTATTGCTATACAAACCTCATATTTTAATAAGCCTATCACTGTCTCGTGTGCTTTAAACATATCTTTCCATGTTTTAGGCATTGGAAATCTTAATATTTCTTCCATAGTGTAAATTTCAGAATAATTTAGTTTGAATTCATATATAATTAATTCAAATACTATAAATATCAATAATTAGTCAGTAAAAACAAGTGGTGATAACAAAATGATAATAATAAAATGGCAATGAAGATTTACAATATGATTGCATTCCGTATAACCTAACCATTCTAATGTCAGAACTTGGACGAATTTTTACAAGCCGATTGATTAAAGTTTTTAGCATTTTTGAAATCTTCATTCGATCACTTTTGAAATGGCTCCAGTTTTTTTTCAATGGAGGTCCACTTACTTCAATGACCGAAAAATCTTCATCTTCCTCCCTCAAAGTAATGATTGTATCGATTTTCCTTCCAGGAGATCGATTTTTATCGTCTGCTTTCTGGGAATTGCAATCTTCAGAGCTTGCCTTAAGGCATGTCTCGCCATATGTAGCACGCCATTTTTTTTTATGTTTTATAAAAATTTCATTAAGGATCGGTGTCAAAACATATACAATGTAACTTCCTTCAGACATAGGTTCGGAAACTAAATTAGTATCATTCC